TAAAATGTCTATGTTATGAAGTAATGCAAAATAAATTCCTGAATGTGGAGCTGATTCTAACATGATAATCGGCTAGTCTGAGGCTTTTCCCCCAGGGCATGGCAATGAAGCTACAGTAGCTTTTAACGTCACAAGGAAATGGTCATAAACATTTATTGGACATGTTCTAGATTAGCTGCTGTAGGAATCTAAAAGATTGTAAAATAATTAATTATTCTGAATAATTGTCAGAAAGGTACCAAGTTCTTTCTGAACCCTCATTTTCTAAGTATATAATCCCCAGTAGTAATTCACCCTCACACCATAGTCCCAGACCCTTTTTTCCCCCACTCTATTCTGTCTTTTGTCTTGTCTGGGGAATCCTATGGACAGAGAAGCCTGGTGAGCTACAGGGCATGGGGTTGCAAAGAGTAAGACATGACTGAGTAATTAAGCACGCATGCTGTCCCTTGGGGTTGGAACAAAGCCAGTTGCAGTTTTCTCCCATGAACCTTTCATCTGCCCTACACCTGGTTAGGAACTCAACTGACTCCCCAAATCAGGTACCTGTGCTGTCAGGCATGTCCTTGAAAACCCCAAACTGCCTTGCAACCAAGGATCTGGTTAAATAAAAATATCCTCATTCCCCTGCTCCCCCGAAATCTGAGAAAGCTAATTTATGCCAAAGTGTCATTTACTGATACATCTTTCTTCAGAGGACACCTTTCTTGTCCTTTTTGCTTGTAATTTTCTTTTTGATGAGAACAGAGAGTGGCAGCATTCCAGGCAGGAATCTTCCCACTGTCCTTCACCTCACTCTAAAGGGCTGGTCACTTAATCTGCATAACAGCCTAGCCTGTATGCAGTCAGACCTTCCATCCGTCACAGTAAAGAAGGTTGTAGCCCACTCTTGGTAAAGAATGTTTTCCAGTTTGTGTGATGAGGTTGGGTTGTGTGATCCATATATTCCTGCCTATTCCTCTTCATCCGTAACTGGATGTTGCTGTCCACATCAGGAAAGGAGTACGCCAAGGCTATATATTGTCACCCTGCTTCTTTAACTTATATGCAGAGTACTTCATGAGAAATGCTGGGCTGGATGAAGCACAAGCTGGAATCAAGATTGCCAGGAGAACTATCAATAACATCAGATATGCAGATGACACCACCCTTATGGCAGAAAGTGAAGAAGAACTAAAGAGCCTCTTGATGAAAGTGAAAGAGGAGAATGAAAAAGTTGGCACAAAACTCAACATTCAGAAAACTAAGATCATGACATCTGGTCCCATCACTTCATGGCAAATAGATGGGGAAACAATGGAAACGGTGACAGACTTTATTTTTGGGCCCCAAAATCACTGCAGATGGTGACTGCAGCCAGGAAATTAAAAGACACTTGCTCCTTAGAAGAGAAGTTATAACCAACCTAGACAGCATATTAAAAAGCAGAGACATTACTTCACCAACAAAGGTACGTCTGGTCAAAGCTATGGTTTTTCCGGCAATCATATATGGATGTGAGAGTTGGATGATAAAGAAAGCTGAGTGCCAAAGAATTGATACTTTTGAACTGTGGTGTTGGAGAAGACTCTTGAGGGTCCCTTGGATTGCAAGGAGATCCAACCAGTCCATCCTAAAGGAAATCAGTCTTGAATGTTCATTAGAAGGACTGATGCTGAAGCTAAAACTCCAAAACTTTGACCACCTGATGCAAACTGACTTATTAGAAAAGACCCTGATGCTGGGGAAGATTGAAGGCAGGAGGAGAAAGGGATGACAGAGGATGAGATGGCCGGATGGCATCACCAACTCAATGGACATGAGTTTGAGTAAACTCTGGGAGTTGGTAATGGACAGGGAAGCCTGGCGTGCTGCAGTCTATGGGGTCACAAAGAGTCAGACATGACTGAGCAACTGAACTGAACTGATTCCTCTTCATCATTCCTGTGTTGGCAGTGCCATCTTTCCAGAAAGGAGAAATTTTCCTCCTCTCCCTTGTTCTGCTTGGATCTCCAGCTTGGAATCAGAGTGTTGTTTTACTGTTTGGTGCTTACTCAGTAGGCTCCAATCCACATCCAAGGTTCTGGGGCTCCTAACACCACTAGGTTTCCTGGTGACTATTCTGTAAATTGAACAAAGAATGATCCCCCGCCTGTTTCCTTTAACCAACTAAGCAACAAAGAGAAGAGGCACGCCTTCTTAAGGGGTGAGTCTCCTTGGATAGACCTGAGACATCTGTGCATAAATACTCCCTGCAAGCCCTCCATGCTAGAGCCTCATGCTTGGCTCAGGGTTAACAGAGTAAAAGAGAAATTTAGCAAATGAATTCTCTGCAATTTGACCACAGTAAGGAACTTGCTATCAGTCCTCTAGAGTTGAAAATCTATTACTCTCTACCTGCCATCTACTTAGAAATTCTACACGAAAGAGATGAAAGGGCCTTAGAGTTCTGCCAAGCCAGCCTGCTGCAAGGGGCTAGGGTTGGGAGCAGGAAGAATTGAACACTTCACTTACCGACAAGAGAATCTCCATTTACATTCATTTTATTTTTACTCTTCTGTATAAGATTGGTCTCAATGGAAGAACTCTCTCCTAGGGAAGTATGCAAAGATATGTAAAAGACTACTTGTTGAAGCATTATTTGTAACAGGGAAATACTGGAAACAACGTAAATGCCCATCATTAGGATAATGTGGTCTAGTTATTTAATGGAATACTGTAGAGCAGAGGAAATTAACTAGAACTACATATATGTACCAAGATAAATTTCAATTGAGTTGCTATTTAAAATACAAATTAGAATATGTATAGCTAACACAACATTGTCAAGCAACTATACTTCAATAAATATTAAAAAATTTAAAATAAAATATAAATTATATGCATAAATGTATAATTATTTGAAGTTTAAATATTAAGAACAATATCATGCACAGTTTTAGAGCATACATGCGTGTAGTTAACGTATAAAAGCAGAGATATGAGTGATGCATATCAATTCAGAGACAAATTTCCTCTCTCCTTCAGGGGACAGGATTGGGTACCTTGGGGGTTTCGATGGTATCTGCATTATTTCATGTTTTAATATGGTGGTATATCAGTGTTTGTGTTTTTCCATATAAAATGTTATATCAGAAATATTTCATTATGACACATGTAAAAAGAAAGGGTTCTGTGAGTCTGAGTCAGGTGTGGTGAGGTGGATGTATCTAGAGCTTGTTATACAAAGTGAAAAGTCAGAAAGAGAGGAAAACAAATATTATATATTAATGCCTATATGTGGAATAGAGAAATCCAGTCCTGATGATCTGATTTGTAGGGAGGGAATGGAGACACAGACATAGAGAACAAACTTGTGGACACAGCGGGGGGAGAAGAGGGGAGGACAAACCGAGAGAGTAGCATTGGCATACATACACTATGGCGTGAAAAATAAGTAGCTGGTGGGAAGCTGCTGTCCCGCAGAGGGAGCCCAGCCTGGTGCCCTGTGATGACCTGGAGGCGTAGGGTGGGGGGGTGGAGTGGGAGGGAGGCTCAAGAGGCAGTGGATATACATATAATTCTGGCTGATTTGCGTTGTCGTCCGGCAGAAATCAACACAACATTGTAAAGCAATTATCCTCCAAGTGAAGAATAAAACTAATTAGTAACCACATCCAAAAAAGAAAAAAAAAGGGGGGGGCGTGGGGTTTCAGTGTTTTAAAAGCTTGAAAGTCAATGAGCTAGGACAAGGGGCTCTGAAATGCTGATAATTCAGTTAGGTAAAATGGTCTACAAGCAACCCTTTGTAGCCCCTTCCGGTAGTGACCTCCTAAAGCCCATCCTGCCTTCTGGAGCCATGGCTCTCAAGCCTTCCTATGGCAAAAATGCATATTTTATCCCTACCCCCACTCTTGATTCTCATTTAGTTGGTCTGAGGTTTTTATTGAGCATACCAGTGACTCTAGTGATCATGGTCAGGATATCTTTGAGATAGATGCTAATGGTGAGCAAATAAAATTCCAGGAGCCTGTGGTCTTTCTGGCCTTTGCCACAGACTTCCTGCTTACAATGATCTAGAGTGAGGCAGGGGTTGCTGCAGGGTTCAAGCAGCATCATGCTACAACTTTGTAGACTTGTTAGTGGTTAACTCCTGGTCCATGTGCAGCATCATGAAAACCTTGTAAACCTGTGTGGTTTTGAAGATGGTACCGGAACAGCAGATGATAGGAAGATATGATGGGGGAAGCTAACAAGTATTGAAAGCAAAAGATGATTTTCTCTAAATTCAGTTCCAAATTTAGGAGGTATTGAATTTAGATGAATAGATTTATGTTACTACAAATGATCAGGGATGGAACAAACAGTGTATGGTGAATGATATAAACACTCCTTGGCATTAATTGGGGAATGATGCTGTTAAACCCTCTTGTATTCCATTATTAAGATAATACACAATTTCGACATATCAAAAATATATAAATTATAAAGATTATAAAAATCACCAATAATATCATTACTGAAATAACAGTTGCTTGTTACTTGTGATGTCAAGTTGATAGTTTGAAATTGGCAAAGGTGGGAGGGAGTATTTACACCACAGAAACAGACAAATGCCGTAAGTCAAACCCTTTACTTCTATCCCAAAAAAGTAGTTAAATTTTTACTATATTGATCGCATTGAGCATTGAGCTCATCTTACTTACATGTGTATTTACCCCCCAAATTTAGATAATGCGATAATGCAGATTTAAAAAATTATTTTTGATGTAGACTATTTTTAAAGCCTTTACTGAATTTGTTACAATATTGCTTCAGTTTGATGTTTCAGTTTTTTGACCTGGAGACATGTGGGATCTTACCTCCCTGACCAGGGGTCAAACCCACACCCCCTGCGCACTGGAAGGCGAAGTCTTAACCCTGGACCACCAGGGGGTCTCCATGATGCAGTGTTGAAAGTGCAAATGTATATCTGACTAAGAAGTATATTCTGGGTATTCTGGGAAACTAACAGGACCATCCATCTCACATATTCTGTGCAGGGGGAGCAAGGACCTCCGGGCTTCCCAGGGCCAAAGGGCATGACAGGCCATGGCCTCCCTGGTCAGAAGGTAAGTATTTCAGGACTGAAGGGAAATGCTCAGCTTTAGGATCTCAGTGGCTTAGCTTGATCCCTGGAAGGGCTCTCATGAACTTGTCACTCCTCTTCTTACAATGCTCAGAGGAAAAAAAAACACTTCAGAGTTAATCCTTCTGCATTTCTTTTCCTAACTACAAACATGATTACTTTTTGAAACCTCATTTTCTTCCAACTCAAAAGCCAGCTGATGAGGAATAAATCCTTACAACCTACCCACGTGGAAGATATCAGATAATTCAGGTATTAACCTGTATAATGGCTGAAGTTCCTAAAGTCAATAACTGATCAGATGGCATCTCATGGTCTCCTCACCTTGGGGTCTCTAGTTCATCATGAATTAGATAATGGTGCTTGTGCATGCTGTTGCTTCAGTCATGACCGACTCCTTGCGACACTTTGGATTGTAGCCCACCAGGCTCCTATGTCCATGTGATTTTCCAGGCAACAGTACTGGAGTGGGTTGCCGTGCCCTCGTCCAGGGGATCTTCCCCACCCAGGGATTGAACCCATGTCTCCTGCAGGAGGATTCTTTACCATCTGAGCCAGGAGGGAAGCCCCTATGGTACTTGGGAGGATGTAAATAAAATGCCCCCTATTTTTTCATATAGTATATTCACACCAACAAGAACCATGGGTCTTCAAGAGGTACCTCAGTTGCAAAGAAATGAAACTTCAGAGTTTCCCTTATTTGGCTTTAATATTGACAGTAAACTTCTCTTTTCATTGTATTACAAAGGGAGAGCATGGAGAACGGGGTGATGTGGGAAAGAAAGGCGATAAAGGGGAGATTGGAGATCCCGGACCCCAAGGAGAACAGGCAAGAAGTGATTTTTAACCTCTTACTGTCATTGTACACATTAGCTGGTTGCAGCCTTCATTGACTGTTACGCTTCTTCCACTAAGTAGGGGTTACAAGGACCAAAAGGAGACCAAGGACTTACAGTGAGTATCCATCCTAGAGGGTAATTGAGGGGTTTGTGCTCACAGAATGATTACATTTGTGTTTTCACATTAGAAGTAGGACTTCCTTTGAAACAGAATTACTGCTGGCTTCAATGCAGGGGGTTACTGAATCTGAATGTAAGGTGACCTTACCCCTGCAGCCCTTATCCAGCCTCATTGTAGACACATAACTACCCACCCTGATCCCTGGTAGAAATGTTAACAGAGAGGTGAGCCATTTAAAAGAAACAAAATGAACAAGGACCTTTTTGTTTTTCAGAATAGGGCCCACCCCCTTTTTTTTTTCTGAACTAGTTCCTTTAAGTGCTCTGAGAAGACCAACAATCACAAAATTGGGATTACGTTCATGTACTGATTCACTTATTCAACAAATAGTCGTGATGATGTGCAAACTCTCACCTTTTGTTCTCTCTTTTGTTCTCTTTGGTTTGCTCCATCACAAGAACAAAGCTGACCCCTGAAAGCCCTACAAGACGGGAAGGTTCTAGAATTTCTATAGCAGAGTCTAATTCTTCCTTTCTAGTATCTACCTTTCCTGGAGTTGAGGAGAAAACAGGGGACTTCTGCTGTTCCCTTTTTGATGGGTCATGGGTCCGGGGATGTTGACCTTACATGTGCAGTGCCAGGAAACCCAGAGGTGGGAGCTCACGTGATGAAGGCGAGAGCTGCCATGTGACACAGAACTGTGCGTGGTTTTTACGGCCCATCTGCCTTAGGGCAGACCCTCCCCAGGTACCTATGGAGGATAAAGCAGCTACATATGCAGCAATTTCTCCCTAAATGTAGCAGAGGAGGGTGTATGTTAAATGCCCAGAGGAATGTTCCCCGTAGGTTTATGCCCTCCCTCCCATCTCTGCATGGAGAGCAGAACTGCCTTCCTTCATCCATGCACTTGCTCATTCATTTCACCAACAATTAATAGGCACATGCCCTGGGTCAGGGTCTGAGCCAGGCACGGGGGTAAGAGTTGAGAATAAGAGACCGCATCTTTGCACTCAAGGAGCTCGCAGTCTAACGGGAGAGAAAGGCAGGCAGAGGATGTTCACCTATAGCTTGAAAAAGGCTGTGACAGAGGTGACATGTGGGTCCAGAGCAGACAAAATGAGGTGCGATTTGATGCAAGTTCTCTTTTTCTTCACTTTTCCCTTTGTCTAGCATTTAGAAAGCCGAGGGCAGCATTAAATGAGACTCTAGTATGTGACAGGCTCCTTCATATCAGGACCTCCCTGACCCAGTTCTGCAGGGTGCCTGGGGGACCCAGGTAGAGTACGGCCCCAACTCTGGACTCCTGGACTTCTAGTCCTTCTCCAGGTACACCCTTTCCTCCAGGTGAGGAGCGACCACCCTGAGCACACACCGCCCTGCCCCCGCACCACACTCTGGATACACAGATCTCATTGTCCTCAAATGGCCTCAAGTTTGGAAGTGGACAGCACTGGCCTGTATGCATGAGGTAGCCAAGGGCCAGGCATGTGGGGGTATTTAACAGAGCTTGGGTGCACCTCACAAGTGCTGGCTAAGACCCGGTGCAGCGTAGGACCGGTGAAGAGGGGGGCAGGGAGACGACGGGGACAGGCTATAGACTGCAGCCCTCTCTTGCTCAGGACACACATTAATGCACATAACTGCCCACGAGGCAGGGAGGACTGTCTCCCTGTCAGATAAAGACCCTCCAAGTCTTGCAGAAAGCTTGAGCAACATGCCCTGAGTCACCTTGCTAACAAGGGGGCAGAGCCCTTATAGCTGGAGCTGGCTTGTTGGAAGCCAGAACCAGCCTGCTGCCTCATGAAGGCTGTTTTCAGAAGGCCTCCTTTTTCTCCCCATTGCCACTCTCTCCTATCCTCACATACTCTCAGGGGCAGATTCAGGCCAGACTAACAGAACTCCTCCTTCTAAAAAAAAAAAAAAAAGAAAAAAATTTATTTTTAATTGGAGGATAATTCCTTCACAATGTTGTATTGGTTTGTCACACATCAACATGAATCATGAATAGGTATATATCCGTCCCCTCTCTCTTGAACTTCCCTCCCATCTCGCACACCCAACCCCACACATCTGGGTTGTCACAGAGCACCGGGCTGAACTTCCTGTCAAATTCCCCTTTCAAGAGGCAAGTACTATTGATGGGAGTTCAAGCTTTTAATCATTCTCACCCAAGCTACTTCAAAAAGACTTTCTCCAACTAGGCCTGAAGTGCTAGCGTTTCTCAGCGTCTGCCCGCAATTGTTGCTTCCGTGTCCTCAGATTCTCAAGGAGGGACAGCTATTAAAGATACACAGATGCACAGTTCAAAAAGGCTGATTTAATATTACAGTAAATTTGTATGGAGGATGAAAAAGCATTTTAGATTATAAACATAGGAAAAATATGCTTGACAAAAGTAGGTATGGAAGGGTCTTGCAGGTTGCACTCTAGCTCCGCTCCACACCATCTCGTCTGCCACACCTCTTTCAACAGCCAACTATACACTGGAATTTCTTAACTCTGCCTCCGGCTTGAGCCCCTCTCCCGAGCATCAGACCTTACCTCCTACTGCCTTGTCAGCTGGGTGTCCCACAGGTGCCTCAAACTCAGCCAGAATCAAGCTGAACCCAGCTTACTCTTCATTAGCTCCAACCCGCCCCTGTCCATTCCCTCCCTTCCTCCAAGAGCGGCCCTGCTATCATTTACCTCCTAGACTCCCTCTTTCCCTCATCCTCTCTTCCAATTACTCACCACCCCCTTCATCTCCTTCTGCTATATCCCTCCAGGCCATCCCTTCCCATCCTTCACTTCCACCAGGATTTTCTGGTGTTAATTTTCTTTGCCCATACTATTTAGGAATCTCAGACTGCTCCACTGGCTGCCAGAGTCAATTTTCTTAAATAAAAGTGCAACCAGTTCCCTTCTCTGCCATGGACCATGTCTGTCCTCACTGCTCAGGCTAAGTCCACACTCTTCAACGAGACACAAAGGCTCTCTAGAGGATCTGTGTCCCGCAGTTCCTGTCATTCTTCCTGTCACATACCTTGAGTCACACGTTTACTCAAGGACTGTAACGCACTGCGTTTTGTGTGTTTTGTCCCCTGCCTGGAAGGTTCTTCCTCCTCCTCTCACCTCATTCCACCCTAGTCAGAGTCTACCCACCTCCCTGGACCACAGCACCAACCCCACTCTCCCACCCCTGGTATTCCAGCAGATCAACGTGGTTCCTTGATTCTGATCCAACAGCATAGCACTTATAAACAGTATTTGTTTCTTTGCCTACTTGGTACCAGACTCAAGTTAACATGAGTCCTTTGAAGGATATAAATTTGATGCCTTCATCTTTGGCACTGAGTAACCAAGGTTACTCAGCAATTTTAGCAGAAAGAGTGAAACCATTCATTCCAGGGACTGTAAAGCAAAGATTACATGGAAAATGTTGATTATATAGAAATATGACTACTTAAAGCATATTAGACCTGGTTATTCCATAAAAGCACAGTGAAAGGAATTAAATGCAACCTTGATATATAAATTGCTCTTACAAGTCAATAAAAGACAAAGATTCTAATAGAAAAAAAAAAAAAACGGACCAAGGACACGCAAAGACCATGCACAAGAGAATATAATTGGAAGCACACATATAAAATTTAGCCTAACAAGTAGTGGATTAAGTGTAATTTAGAATAGTGAGATATTTTTCTCTATCAAATGGTAAAGATTATACAGTAATAATAACCAGTATTGTGTCTCTAAAACAAAACAGGTTTTCTTATATACTACCGTTAGAGCTGTCAGTTACCACAACTTTTCTGGAGGATAGTTAGGCAGTCTGCATCAAGAACCTTAAAATGGCCATGCCTCTGACTCCAGAAATCAAGTTTTTCAGAACACTTGGTAATATGGGAAATTAATTATGATATATAATATTAAGTGAAAAATTATAATCATAAAACTTGCAGTATTTTCTCCACTTGTAAAAATTAAAAATAACTATATTAAATATGTAACATTCCCCTGCCAGGATATAAAATATAAATATATTAATATAGAAATTTTCCTTTTTAAACATACTCTAGTTTCAGATTTATTAAATGTCTCTCTAAATGTGGAAAAAGCATGACAAAGCCTGAAAAAAAAAGATAACTGTTGATTCCTTTATTTCATATAATTTAAAGAATCTCATACTGGGAGTAATTTTTGTATAAGCCACTTGAAATAGCTTTTACTCAATTTACAGTAAAAAAAAAATCTAAATTAAAATGCCATTAATAGTCTCCATATATGCTTCTGTTAAGCCATGCCACTGGCTCTGTCACCTTCACCCCTGTTCTGTCATTATAGATCTTTCTCTTTAAAACCTTACATTTGCAGCTGTTACATTTTATCTTCTTAGAAAAGGCCCGCTGCTTTTCCCTGTTGAGGTTTTCTGGGCTTCTGCCTCTCCCCTCTGTTAAGTTAATCATCCCTGTCAGCTTCACGTCCTTGGCAGATGTAGCATCCTGACTCTGCAGACCCATCGCAGTCATTTGTAAACATGCCATGTGGCACAGGGCACCGGCAGATTGACTCCGAGTAGTCGGCTCATCTCAGGCCCCTCTGATGGAGCTAGTGAGGAGCAGGGCCCGGAAGCAGCACCCAGGAACCCGGGGACATTTCATGGAGAAACTCAAGTGAGAGTATTAGGAAACTGGGTCGGAGACTCGCAGAGCTGGGGACTGGTACAGAAAGAGGGGAGAGAATACAGTATAGATCGAATTCCCTTTCAAACCAGGTGCTTGTGCTGGTTGGCTAGCACATGTGGTTGGAATCACGTAACCAAGGCACACGTTGCCCACGGCATTGTCGTCCTGGGTATCTGCAGGGGACTGGTTCTAGCACACGCTCCTCCACCCAGGAGGTACCGAAGTCCGTGGATGCTCACGTCCCTCATATACAATGGCGCAGTACTGTCAGCCCTCTGCATCCACGGATGCAGAACTGTAGGGAGTACATCCTTTGGGGGCCCATACCTTGTGCTAAGAGCTGTGCGTGTCACCTCGTTTAATCCCACCATAGCCCTGAGACACAGACCACTGTTAGGTCACTTCATGCCCAAGGTCACAGCTGACAAACACCAAAGCTGCAATTTGAGCTTCAAGTCTCAGCTATTACATCTTACAGCTCAAACAGATTTCAATTATAATATATCATAGCCAACTTTAAACCTCTGTATCTTATGTAGCCTGTAGTTATCTTAAGATAACTATGTATCTTATTTGCAGCAGAAGGATTAATTAAATAGCCCAATGCTGACTGTAGTAAGACAGTCCCTTTTATGACTGTAGGGAAAAATATTATGGCCACACAATTAATACATTTTCCTCTTTTCCTCCAGAAAGAAGAAATCATCAAGCTTATTTTTGAAATATGTGGTAAGATTTGATGATCAAGAAAGTAACCATCACTTTAAAGTACCAGTCCCACTATGTTCAAGATATTGCATTTACCCAGAAGATGTATACGGTAGAGCTCATGAGAAAGTCTCAACTTCATTTGCAAAGTTGGTGGGAAACCGAAAGGAAGCAGTGTGAGGGGCTGTGGGAATACTGATTTAAGGAAAGAAAATCATTTTCCCAGAGTGGTTAAGAAACATGAAGACACCGGAGTCCGTGCGCAGCCAGGCCCTTTGTTAGCACTGAGCTCATTTGTGTTTGGTGACATTTACCTGAGCCTGGGAAGGATAGAACGACAAAGTAACCATGACTGCAGGGGCCTCCCTGGTGTTTGAGTCCAGCCCAGCTGGGGACAATAATGTCTGTGTTTTTCCTGGAGCAAAAGGTCTTTCTAAACTGAGTTTTGAGACCTACATCTAGAGTGCCTGCCACTTCAAAAGCAAGAGGACCGAGTTCAGAGGTCCCCTGGCGTCACAGCTCTATCCAAAGGCTTCCGTGGTGAAATGTGTGTGTGTTCAGTTGCTCAGCTGTGTCTGACTCTTCTGTGACCCCATGGACCGTAGCCGGCCAGGGTCCTCTATTCATGGGATTTTTCCAGGCAAGGATCCTGGAGTGGGTTGCCATTTCCTACTCACGGGATCTTCCCCACCCAGGGGTCGAACCCGCATCTCTTGTGCCTCCTGCATTGGCAGGAGGATTCTTTACTGCTGAGACACCTGGGAAGCCCCTATGGCAAAATAGGCTTAAAACAGAGTTATCAGAACAGGAAGTAAAGCAAACAGATTAGCCAAGAAGCAAGAAATTAATGGATCATGAAGATAAGAGGACCTTCTGTGTTTAAAATGGACAGAGGAAGGAATATCATTATCCTTCCACATAGGGAACCCCAGAACTGGCTTGTCCCCCAAAAGACTTCTGGACGTTAAGAAGCAGCCTGGGACTCTCTGTGGTGACAGGCTAATTTAGACATTGCTCCTGAGTGCTGGACACCCTTAAAACAGCAGCCCGTTTCCTGATGATTTATCGCTGGAGTGCCGTTGGGCAACATAAGGATACGAATACACCCATGGAGCCCTGATACTTTTTATTGCTTAGGGACTCTGGCAACTGCTTCGAATGATAAACCACAAATAGAAGGTGTTTATTGACCAGTGTTCCTAGATCACTCCCCTTGAACAGTTTCACAGGGTAAATGTTCCCCAGGCCTCCAGGATAAGATGGGAGCCACCCTAGGGTCACTGTGGGTGACCGGAGAAATAAGCCAGAGTAGCGGGGGCTACTATGTTTATGCCCAGTTAAAGATCCAAATCTTCCCCCCCCAATTAAAAAATTTCACCCCATTACTTTACTCACTGGCCACTCCAATGAGCAAGTGTTCATTTTCATATAAGGATATGGTTGAAGACTGAAATATTAGTGCTCACATTCAGATTAAATACACATGGTGGAATGATAAAGAGCAAATTTAGGATGGTGGTTATCTCTTACAGACAAGGAAAGGATGGGATCAGGAAGGCATGCACAGGGATGCTGAATCTTTTAAAAAGACTTTTATATTTTAATCTGAGAAACTGGCTAGCTGTTTATTATGTTATCTTCTACAGCATTTTGATTTTTTGTGTGGGAGATTTTTTTTTCTCCCCCAATGTATCATTTTGAAGAGAGTCAGGCATAGAAACTAGAAGGGAGACAACTGTCAGCTGTGTTCATGGTCACAGAAAAGGAAGGCTACAGTCCAGGTCTCTGGTTCATCCCCGCCCCCTCCCCTCTCCCTGTGATGTTTTCAGTTTCATTCCTGCTGTGTTTCTGTGTCCACATCCCTGTTTCAGGTTGTGGGCGTAAATGCAAAGAGACTACGCTGGAGCTTCTGTTTGTGATTGACAGCTCAGAAAGTGTGGGGCTCAAGAACTTCCAAATCATCAAGAATTTTGTGAAGACCCTGACGGACCGTGTGGCCCTGGACCTGGCCACAACCCGCATAGGCATAATCAACTACAGCCATAAGGTGGAGGAGGTGGCGCATCTGACCCAGTTCTCCAGCAAGGACGACCTCAAGCTGGCTGTGGACAACATGCAGTATCTGGGGGAAGGCACCTACACGGCCACAGCGCTCCATGCCGCCAACCGTATGTTCGAAGCCGCCAAGCCTGGTGTGAAGAAGGTGGCCTTGGTCATCACCGACGGGCAGACAGATAGCCGAGATGAGAAGAATCTGACCGAGGTGGTGAAGAACGCCAGTGACATCAATGTGGAAATATTTGTGATTGGGGTAGTGAAGAGAAATGACCCCAACTTCCACATATTCCACCAAGAAATGAATCTGATTGCTACTGACCCAGATAGTGAGCACGTTTATCTATTTGATGACTTCATTACCCTTGAAGGTAAGACAGTTCCAGGGGAAAAGAATTTATATTGCCTTTCCAAGAACCACATTGCTGGATGATCCTGACCAAAAAGGGAAATCAGAAGGCTACTGAGGTTTACACCAGCATGAAATTGTAACACAAACTGAGGGAAAAGAGGTTTATATCATTCAGTTCAGAGAGTACAGTCCTTATCTTTCTTCATTTGTAGTAAGTGCTGATTTGGCCATGGAGTTGTTTACCTGGGGTTATCTACGACTGAAGGGCTGAAAAGAACGGATATTACTTGAGAGCATTGCTTAGATTAGCTTCTGTTCTAAACGTTACCTAACTTGGGTAAGAGATGGAGCAAGCCCACAGCAAGGCAGAAAATAACCATGGAATCAAAATGAATTAATGAGTCCAAGATGAGTGGGAAAAGTTAGGGTAATCTAAAGAGATGAGGGACATAGCAACTAGAATTATTCTCCTCTATTCTCTCTTCTCTGCTTTTGTGAAAACAGATAATGAAGACTAAACAAGTTGATGTCAGGAGTTTATCTGAAAGAACAACATTTTGAATATGCCTCACACTCAGGGCTGATCTGATGGGTTTTCCTATGCTGCTTTACCCTTTCACAAGAACTGATATTTCCTAGTAAAGCATGCTAAAACACTGACTCACCTGTGATTCAAGTGTGATCAGTATCACTTTACGATGAAACATTCCAGGTCACTGGAAACTCCTAACATACAATCTGGCAGAGCCCACACCCAGAAAGCTTATGAAATAAGTGAGATCTATACTTCCTGTATAGATCTTCAGGCTTCAGTTTGACCCCATCCTTCCTTCTCCACTCATCTGGGAGTGGGGCCTGACATGGCCTGGCATGGCCTCCTGGCCTCATCCTGCTCCCGGGGCTCCGGTACCCACACAGCTGGCCCTACGGGGAGCAAAGCACACTCAGAACCTTCCCACTGTCCCTCACACTTCAGACCTTCCTAACCTGGGGTCTGGCTTCCTTAATACTGGATGACTGGAGGGTTTATCTGGTGCATTCAGTCTCCCTGGGCAGTTAATGTGTTAGAAATGGCCAGAAATATTACACATTTCAGAGACAAGTTATATTTTAATAACTGAAAAGCTCTGTCATCTTACCCAAAGAAGTTACTAATGCGAGGGGTGTATTTTTGGACTGGTTTGTCTTTTGCAATCTCCAGAATCAGAGCTAATTGCCTGGTGAACTTACTATGGGTAAGGCTCGCCCCTCCACAGAGTAGTTCCTTCTGGATAAAATGAATTTAAGTCCTCTGTTTGCCTATTTGGACCACTTGCTCTTGTTCAGTCACTAAATCGTGTCTGATTCTTTGCAACCCCGTGGACTGCAGCATGGCAGGCATCCCTGTCCTTCATAATCTCCTGGAGTTTCCTCAAACTCATGTCCATTGAGCCAGTGATACCATCCAACCTTCTCATCCTCTGTTGTCTGCTTCTCCTCCTGCCTTCAGTCTTTCCCAGCATCAGGGTTTTTTCCAATGAGCCAGTTCTTCATATCAGGTAGTCAAAGTATTAGAGCCTCAGCTTCAGTTTGGGCCATTTTATATTATTACATTAAATTATTTTAGATGGCCTCTTACAGATGATGTAAAAATGCTTTAAAAACTTAGCTCCTCTAGTGGTTGACTTCAGGTGCTGGGCAAGTGGACAGTGCAAAAGATCTTTATAATAAACAGATTTGAGTAATGTTTCATTGCTCCTCCAAACCCTTTTCTACTTCTCTTTTTTAAAAGATACCCTGAAGCAAAAATTATTTACAAAAAGTTGTGAGGATTTCGAAGCCTACCTCTTTCATATTTTGGGTTCATCACCGCTTCAACCTGGATTTGGGATATCGGGGGAAGAACACCATGAATCCACTCTGGAGCCCCAGAAAGAAATTACTGAGTCTGTAAGTAACTATCTTGCTCAATTTGTGAGCCTAAAATGGTATATTCTGTCTGCTCTACACCAAAGACCATCTTGTCCTCAGCTGTCAAGAATCAACTGAGGTATGGATATTTTCAGGTCTTTGGCTCTAAGTATTAGCCTTTTGTCTCCAGATTTCTAGTTCTGAAATAGCTCTGGGGCTTATGAGCATGAATATGAGACTGATAAACATTTCCATGTTTTATAATTATTTATTAAATGCTACAAATAATATTTTTATATTATACCCCTGCCAGCGTCAAAAGTAATCATGTCCACTAGAACAGATTAATATGACACCATCCGAATCGCCCCCTTGCCACATTTACAGATCTTTCTGTACCGGGTTGCAAATCTCCCTGTCCGTCCGTGTATCCACTCCACACTTTGCCCCCTTTCAAGTTTCTGGCAAATGCACACATGCTCAGTCTGCACTCTCCCTCCCTCCCCCCCACCCTCTTGCTCACTTAGCTTCCCCCGCCTGCACCCAGGGCAGGGACAGGGAGAGAGGCTATGCTTGCATATGGCACACGGCGGATGCTTCGTTTCAGAGCTCCCCAGTCATGTGTGTACGAGAGAACTACCTCCTGAATGTATTGAGACAAAGGTGATTGTCCTTAGAGCAAGCCTCTGAGCACTGACCTTAGCCAATCAGGTCACAAGCAACTCTTATAGGTGAGAACTGGAGAGCCTCTCATAATTACTGGTGAGTGAGTGATGTAATCTCTTTCCCACCAAGTTACAACTAAAGCTGGTGTGAACCGATATCTCCCACATGTACAGACATGGTCTGGCAAGCAAGTACACAGCAGTGTCCCTATTTTATAAGCTCAATGAACTCCCCCCTGTGGTGTCCTTTTATGAAGTCTTCAAAGACATGGAAGATTTCTTTTAGGCCAGTGCAACAATATTCAAGTATCAGGATTCCACTAACTGACTAAGAAAGGAAGACTTGAGAAACCCCCAGACCAGTAGATGAATGCAGGACCATTCAGGAGTCAGGCCTAGGATGCTATTCCTATTATTGTTCGGTCATTAAGTTGTGTCCGACTCTTTGCCACCCCACGGCCTGTAGCACACTAGGTTTCCCTGTCCTCCACTATCTCCCGGAGTTTGCACAAACTCATGTACATTCAGTCGGTGATGCCATCCAACCATCTCATCCTCTATTGTTCCTTTCTCCTCCTGCCCTCAATCTTTCCCAGAATTAGCCAGCTTATTGAAAAAGACCCTGATGCTGGGAAAGACACTGATTTCATTCCTATGGGGACAGATTACAGGACTCACAAGATTTTTATATTATATCCCAAAATAGGACAGAAAAGTCTGTAATCTATTTGATTAAATACTAACCAACTTCAATATGGGTAATTCCAGTTAGGGCAACAGACTGCCCCTGGACTGTAGATTGAAATTAACACACACTTATACCACATGGTCTAGATCAGGGGGTCAATAAACCCTTTTTGTGAAGGGCTATACAGACATGAGTTTGGGTAGACTCCGGGAGTTGGAGATGGACAGGGAGGCCTGGCGAACTGCAGTTCATGGGGTTGCAAAGAGTTGGACACGACTGAGTGACTGAGTTGAACTGATATAGGAAAGATCTGGGATTTTGCAGGCCACTTCATCTCTGTTGCAGTGACTCAACTCTGCCTTAGAAGTGCAAAAGGAGCCATAGCCAGTACCTCAATGAATAGACATGGCTATGTTCAGATAAAACTTATTTCCCAAGACAGGTGAAGATTTACATTCAGCCCAAAGGAGTTTGCCAACCCTGGTCTCTACTAAGCATTTGAAAGTAAATTATAGACAATAATGTACACAGTCTATCTTCTCTTTCTCCTGTGATTTATCTCTTTGTCCCGGCCCTAATCAATTCATGTTCCTTTCTGAAAACTACCTATCTAAGAACAAACTCAGGTTTCATCCAGCAAGCAGTGTCTACACAGAGCTCTCCTCAAAATCAATGAGTTGCAGTGAGATGTACTGATCATTTATTGCAGTGCTCAAGGGTGGCCCTTGTGGCACAGTTCCTGCCCAATAGAAGTCCACAGTCTCTCAGAGAATGGATGAGGACAGGGAGTATTAAGAACTTCAGCAGAGCTATGGAGGAAGCTCAAGAGATGCTGCAGTTAATTTCAGGGCAGAGTAATGCAAGGCTTTACAAAGGAGCTGGTGTTGAGCTAAGTTTTTTAAGACTATGTAAGAGTTCTTCAAGGCAAGAGCAGGGGGAAGGGTATTTTCAAGGAGGAGGAACACGTGGGGGCAAAGGGGGAATCCATAGGGAATGGCATTTTAAGAAATTAGGACAAGTTCAATCTAACTGGAGCCAAAGGTGTACCTGCAGAAGGGCGAGAGTTAAAACTGGACGAATAATTTGAGGGCTAATTATAAATGTGTCAAACTAAGGAGCTTGAACTTCCTCCATAGGCCAGGCAACCAGAAGAAAGCGGAGTTTTAAAAACAAGGGTCATACAGTCACATTTGGTTGCCGGGTAAAAGATAAATAGGAGGAGGAGGAGACTGGGATGTGAGGAGTAATGGTCCAGGTGAGAGACAACGAAGCCTTAAATGAAGACGGGGCCACCAGAATAAAAGGAAGCACAGATTGGAAAGCCATTTCTGGGTAGAAAGAACAGGAATTGGAGAGTGAATAGAGGTTAGGGAGAGGGCTTGGGGATGATGATTGGATTCTGGCTTGGAGATGGGGTGAACTGAAACATCCACTGCGATGGAGAATATAGCAGGCAGGGTAGGGGTAGGGTTCTCTGAAGGAAAATAAGGGGCTTAATCTGTACCAAAGTGGAAGTGGCAGAGGGACATTCAAGGCAATGACACAGAATGAGGGATGGCAAGAAGATCCTATGACTCTGGTGTTGTGACCCAGGAAGTTAGGTGCCCTGAGAGACAAGTGACATTAACACATTATGGCGGATGAAGCATTCTAGTAGCTGGGGAGGGGAGGGCCTGAGACGGGTACATCCAAAATAGTTTAGATTTATAGCACCAAGAGTTACATGGTGGGCATCAGTTGGATCTCCCTATAGGGCTTCTTACTGAGAGTGGGAGCTTGTAATGAACTCCTAATGGGAGTTTGTAATGAACTTGAACTTGGATAGTCTCTCTTGAATCTACGCCTTCTCACCCTGGCTCTCTTTGCAGAAGCACTGAAGTAAGACTGAATTTTTAAAAATGAATGATCCTAATAGATATTTAGCCTGAACAAACATATATGCATTTATATTCACATTTAGATCTGTCATGTGTATATATAATGTATGTTCTTAGTTGTTCAATTGTGTCTGACTCTTTGCAACCCCATGGGCTGTAGCCTACCAGGCTCTTCTATCCATGGGGATTGTCCAGACAACAGTACTGAAGTGGGTAGCCATTCCCTTCTCCAGGGGATCTTCCCAACCCAGGGATCAAACCCAGGTCTCCTGCATTGCAGGCGGATTCTTTACCGTCTGAACCACCAGGGAACACTCATAAATACAAAAACATACTTATATATCCATGCATGCACGTGCTTTATCTAAAAGTATAATTATAGTATTGAAACATCCAAAGTAAAATGAATCTGTCAAAACCTTCCAATCCTCAGTTTGTTCCCAAGCCTACCCTAGGCAACATTGCAAAATAAATGATGTCAGAAGTCCTGTTTCCCTTTTTGAGTTTCTAATTTCCTTCTCTGTTGTCTTCCTTTTATCACTCCTGAAGATACCAAGCTCAGTATTCCTTCTTCCTCTCCTTTCTAGCAAAAATCTATTTTTTAGGGGAAAATCTATTATCAGTTATTTACTCTTTTGTGAGTGGTGTAAGCCAATGGGTTGACTCAAGTCAAGAAAGACTTGCATTTGAACTATTTTTATCTAATTGTGTAATGAACATGATGTACACTAAACGCCTACAAACAGATGTGCTGTGAAATATAGAAAGTAGAAGGATTTCCAAGGTTCTGCTAAGTTCATAAAGCTTTGGCAGTTCCTGCTCTGTTGCCCTTTTGGGTCAGTCTTAGGAAATGAAACATGTACATCATCAGTTCTATTCTGTCTCTCTCCTGAAATCTCAGGAAAGTTTATACTTTCTTCTGAAATCTATCACATTTTACATTGTTAATAATTATTTTTATAGGTACCTTAACTTTCCTTAACTCTTTGGAGAAGGAAATGGCAACCCACTCCAGTATTCTTGCCTGGAGAATCCCATGGACGGAGGAGCCTGGTAGGCCACAGTCCACGGGGTTGCAAAGAGTCAGACACAACTGAGCTACTTCAATTCACTTCACTTCACTAACTCTCCTAATGGGTTTAAATTCCTTGAGGACATCTGTATCTAATTAAACTTTGTGTCTCTTGGGACCTAGACTTGTGCTTCATCTTGTACACAGTAGATGCTCAATAAATACATAAGGACCAAATGAAGGCTATACCAACTGTTAGGCTAAAAAAGAAATCTGAAGATTTTCTTCAGGGAAAGTCATCGATTATACTGTGATTCAAAAGACTGTATACATAAGAAATCCTTATCTTTTATGGGACTGACAGTGTTGGCACTTCATGTTCCTTCCTTGTTTTAGGGTGTGGCCAGCTGGAGAAAGATTTCCTGGATATAAAATGGAGCAGGGCAATTAAGTCAAGTAAACATAATTAATCAGACCAAGTGGCCATAACCAGTAATGGCCCACTAGGCAAATAAGTATATGAATTTCCTGCATGAAGTCACTTTTTGTCATTCTAAATGTATTAATAAATAATGTCAATGCACAGGGGCAACTCGCTGGAGCCAGTTTCTTATAACAAGATTCCACATTTATTTTGCCCCCTTGAAAGAGTAGAAAGGAAAGAAGCCCTGTCTACCCCTTCCACAAAGCTCCTTATTTGTAAGATGAAAAATTGTTCCCAGATTGCAAACAACTTAGGTAACTGGCAGCAAAGGTTTTTTTTTTTCCCCCTCTCTGCAGAAAGGAGGCTGTGGGAT